AGGAAAAAAGGAGATATTTTTCAAAGCTTTTTGGTAATATGAGTTCGTCTGAAATTTGGAAAGTGCTCAGGAATTCGGGATGTGTGCAACATGATAGCGCAGAATTTGATATTGATGTCAATGATATAAATACTTATTTCGCACAGGCCAATTCTACTCAGTTTAATGACACTAATTCCTTTTCCTTCAGATGTGTTTCCGTGGTTGAGATTTTTGAGGGGATTAATAAAATTAAACTTGTCATTCCTTAGATATGTAACTATATTTTGGATTTGGTCAATTTCATCTTGACTTGGTCCTCTTTCCCATGCCCGAGTAGTTCCTATACCAAAAGTTAAGAACGTTCATAGTCCAGATGACTTACGTCCAATATCAATCCTACCAGAAATTTCAAAAATTATGGAAATGATTTTGAAGAATCAAATTTTCGAATACACTTCAAATATGATATCGGACACACAGTTTGCATTCTGCCAGAGGCACAACACCGCACACTTACTTTTAAAAGCCGCTGATTTCATCCGCCATAATATTAATGAACGAAAATTAAGTGTCATTTAATCTCTTGATCTGTCAAAAGCGTTAAATTCCATTAACTTTGGTCATTTAATCACTAAATTAAGAGATAATTTTCATTTTTCTGGAACTGCCTGTAAACTGATTTATTCATTTATCAAAGATAGATCACAGTTTGTTGCTATCAATGGTAACCAATCTGAGTTTAAATAGTGGTGTTCCGCAAGGTTCTATACTGGGACCACTATTATTCCTTCTTTATGTTAATGACTTGCGTGATACCATGCAGTTTAAATCTTGTGAAACGTTGCAGTTTGCTGATGATATTTTCTTCATTTTAACGGGAGATAGTGATAACTTATTATTGTTTGAAAGCAATGTAAATGAATGTCTGCTGCAATTCTCTAATTGGGCATCAGCAATTTATCTTACAATTAATCCGTCAAAAACTAAGGCTTTAATGTTTGGTAAGAGTAATAATGCGGCTTACTATATCAATGTCCATTTAAATTACAATAATATTGAATTTGTTACTCACACACAAAATTTTAGGTGTTTTAATGGATAATGAACTATCTTTTAGACAACATATTGATGCTTTATCTGGGAGAGTTTGCTTTTTGTTGAGAAAGATCTATTCCGCCAAATTATATATGCCTCTTCGTATTAGAAAATATTTAGCTCATGCTGTGCTGATGTCTAACATCCTATATGGTTTGGAAGTAATCTCGGGCTGTATCGGGATCAATTTTACTCGTTTACAGAGAATTTTAAATTCAGTTGTGCGTTTGTTTACAACGTTCCCCGAAGAAATCATATATCTAGATATGTTAAACTTTTCCTGGGGTGTTATCTTACTGATTTTGTGTCTTATAGAATTCTTGTTGCCTTTTATAATATTATTAAATGTCGCACACCAACATCTCTATACAGTATCTTTATGTTTTCTCATTCAACAAGAAATCCTCAAATAGTTATACCAAGGATTTATAGGGATGTTTATGCGAGATCGTTCTTAGTTAGTTAGAATTGCACGGAATTGGAATTTATTACCCTATGAACTGAGGATATTTTCCCACTCTAATAATGTTTTTAGGAAGAAACTTTTTATTCATTTTACTTCTTTTGAGCTGTAGTTTTCTTTTTTTAATAGCCATGTTTCTGTGTTTCTGATTTTCTGACTTTTGGTGAAATGATCTTCATAATGATTGCAGTGCATTACAACTATTTGAGTTATTGTTTGCTTGGACGCTATATTTTACTTGTCTTATTATATTATTATGGCGCCAATGAAGAAAAATTATCTTAGTTTTAATTTTTTTTTTTTGTATTTTATTATAAGTATTAAATACTCAGGTTTTGCTAGCTATGTAATATGATTTTATGGTCTTAGAGGCCCTGTATTACACAAATGAGTTTGAATAAATAAATAAATTTAGATTATTATTTATTTATTATTATTTATTATTTTTCATTTTTCTATTGTAGCATTCAACTAGATTTCAACGTTTCAAACTGACCTAATAATATTATTAAAATTTTGCTCACAAGCAATAATTCGGGTAGAACATTCTTTAATCAGCCAAACAGTCTTTAATCATGCAATGTGCATTCACACGTCGCGGCTTGGATTTCAATCAAATTCAAGGAAATCAATGCATATTTTGAAAACTTGATACCTAGATTGCGCTTCAAACTGTAACTTCAAAGCATCCCAGATGTCTGCTGCTGATGTCAATATACATTTCTTTAAAAAATGTTCTGTCTCAATTTTTTTTGATTATTATTTTAATGCTGCATGGGCTCATAACCTATTATTAAAACAGTTTTTATTGAATTGTTTTTATTTGTCAAAACATTATCCACCACAGATATGTCTAGGTGCAATGCAATGGATGCAGAGATGGGAGTCAAAACATCATCAACCATATATCTATCTCGGCGCTATGTGATGGATGCAGAGAATAGCTGCGTTTTAGGAATTGTTTCAGACTATCCTAGTTGCTAGAGGGATTACGCAACAACGTAGTTCCAAGCGAGTTCGCGCCTTCGCCGTCAACGTCCGAATCGTCGTTGGAGTATGGAACTCCACCGGAGTCGAACAACCCTTTGCGCATCACCTTACTCCACATGATGCTGTTCCCGTTCCGGATTGTGCATCTTTGCATTATTTGCCAAACATAATCCCGTTTTTTGAAGACAATAACCGATCGGTACTAGATTTTTTCAATGCCCACCACGAGTTCCGCCATTCCGCCCCAGGTAATGAACAGAGGGAATCAGCGTTTACTGTGCAAAATGTGGAGCAGTTAATCTCCACATTTTGCACAGTACACGAGGTTACCTTCACCCGAATAAGAAGAGAGTGTCCAGTTCGCCAGACATAACCATAGTCTCACCCGGTCTGATAAATTACGTGGCTTGACAACCCGTAATTTTTCTTGGTTCAGACCATGGTACAATAAAAATATAAGGTAGAGCACCAACTGATTACAATTTTTTTCTAATACAAGTCACACACGTTACAACTAGTTATACAACTGGGAGAGGTTGTATTCAAGATTGTATCGTTTGTGGCCCGGTTGTGGCCCGGTTGTGGCCCGGTTGTACGAAGTTGTGTCTCGGTTGTATGGAAAATCAAAATGTTTTGATATTTGACATGTTGTACCAACCGATTGTAACGTTAGTAGGCATGTCGCATACAATTTCATTTTGTTTTTATTTTTGAAGAGGCAACACCATTGTTTCGCACATCAAAACAATACGAAATCCAATCAAATGTGTGATTTTAATGTATTTATAAAAAGGAATTTCAATTTATAAAATGGGATTTCAAAAATTAATTATAAATAAAAGCTATTGAATCAATTATAGAGCATGATTTTTTTCCGGTGTCATCTTAACTCAAATAAGCTATACGAAAAGTGAAGTTGTACCAAGAAGTTGTACACAAGTTGTATCGTTTGTGACAAAAACACACAATTTGGGAACTCTCCAAGTTGTACAACCAGTTGTATAGTGTGTGGCTTGGATAAGAGTGCCCGACTTCTGCCAATTTTTTTATTTTATTTTTTTTTTATTTTCAAAATGATTGGAAGACGAGTACATTGCGGGACGCGCATTGAAGCTATTCGCCAGTTTTTCCATGTAATTGAAAGATCGAACTATTTAGATCCTATTTTTAACCATAATCCAGGCACCTCATCCAGTTTTCGCGCTGCTTAACTGATTTTAAAAATGGGGAAAATATTGAACAATTGCAAAAAAAATTGTTTGCATGCAAGTTTGACATGAAGCGGGCATAGCCTCAGGGCTGTATTTCTGTAGTTTTACGAAGCTTATTGTACCATGGTTCAGACCATCTACCGATAATCGTCTCTATAAGCAGATCGACCAATTTCATAACCTTTGACTACCGCATTTTCCTTAACCATTGGAAATCTCACTGGCCATAATTCAGAGAGTTCACCAACGGGCAACGGTTGATAGGACTGCAGTCACTCTTAACTACGTAACGGTGACTAATCCGAAGTGTGCTGGTGTGCATTATAACCGCCAATTTGTCGAGCAACTCGAGAGTGGTAGGGCGAAGCGAAGAGTATTACGTCGTATAAGATCTATTCCCGCCGAGGAGGTACCCCCATAGTTTACGATTTGTGGTATTCCAAATGACATCCGAAACGCTAAGTCATCCAAAGCGTTGGGCCCGGAACGAATATCAATAATAATTTTGAAACAACTGAATACACCGGAAGTCGTCTATCTTACTAAAGTCCACAACCCGTCGTTAGCTTGGAAAATGGGAAGGGGTCCTCCACAGGTTCAGAAGAAGTTAAGCAGTATCATAAAAAAGTAGGGATGCTCTCGACTTATCAAAGGCCTGTGGCGTTGAGAAAACTAGCTTCTGGGTGCCTCCTCATGACTCTAGTGGACGATGATTCTTCCCTTATAACAATAATATGCTTTCATTGCAGCACATCGTTGGGAGCTACAGTATGAGTCATGAGTACAATACACTAAATCTTCTTAATTGTCCTCCCAAATCTACCTGGACATTAAATCAGAACCTGATTAGTAGTTCATAAAAGTAATATTACTACTACAACAACAACTACTTGTACAATCTATCTAATTTAATACCGAGTTGCACTCTTCAAACAATAGATTAAATGTGTAAAGAAAATTATTTAAATTACACATAAAAATGAAAAATTTATAGAAAAAAAAAAACTAAAGAAAAATCAAATTGGTAGAAATTTATTAGTATAGAATATAATTTTATTCAAATTTAAACTAAAATATTTCTCATTTCCCTAAAAAATAATTGGTAAAAAATATATTTTTCTCAAGTTTTGTTAATGAGCATTATTAACATTCAATGTGATCCGACAAAATAGCTACACATTTTACCAATCAAGCACCCTATGTTCATATAAAATAACGCGTGGTAGGCTAAATATATTAAAAAAGACGAAAAGAGTAACTTAATTTGAGTAATATAAATTGATTTTATTTTCTAATCATGTGTTCGATTGGTTTCTTTTATCAACCATTTCATACAATGAGATATATGTATATATTTAAAAGACTTTGTTAAAGAATCGATCTTTTTGTTTATTTCAAAGAAGCAGGGGGCTGTGTTTCTATAAAATCATTTTGGGCGATGTACGAAAAATAACATTTTACTGTTGTTTTATGTGTTCCAATATTTACTCAAGCTTTTTACGGCTCCACTTTTATTGATGTTTGCTTTAAAGCGTATGTTATATTTTTAATTTATGATAATATGTATGCATATTGTTTTCTCGTTACAATTTGTTTTATTATTTTAATTTGGGTTTCAGTTATACGTGTATTTAGCCATTTTGATTCCCCCAGGTAACTGCCAAATGGTTTTGATGTTAATTGTGTCGAAATAGAACGTATTTAGAGCTTTACTGATCTTCATCACCCAACTCATGTTTAATTTTGGAAAAATCGAAATCTTCACCTGTACCTCGCTTGAAAATGTCCAAAACATCCAGGCAAGTTGTTTCAAAGTGTGTAGTAGCATCGTAGGACTCGGAGATGAAAATTTGAGAGTCGCCACCGTTGTCAATGGGTTCAAAATAGTCAGAGATCGAAATGAATTTTTGTGCTATTGGTTCCAACAGGTCCAAACCTGGTTTTATCTCATTTTCTGGTTGTTCGGTTTCTACGGTCGTAGAGACCATGCCGACAAACCAGCCTTTAGCAGCCACTTGATGAGCATGGCTAACTAAAGAAACATAAATATCTGATTTGCGACCAACTTGTTTTTGTGGAATGATTATTTGTGTAGACAAAGCATCTTTAGTATTACCAATTGGATGGTCCAATAAACAAATGCAACGTATAACTTGACCCTTCTTTCGTACCTGTTATATTTTCAAATAAACAAGAAAATTTTTAAACATAATTCACAATATATAACATTTTTACCTACCTTATCTGGGACATAGCTTGGATCGCAATAGACTTGTTTGCACTTAGCAACTTCTTCGCCTGAACGCACCCCAACAACTTTGCCTCCCTCACCAACAACAATTTCGTCAATAGGTTTGTCGAGCATATAGGTACCACCATAAATAGCCGACAAACGTGCAAAGCCTTGTGGTAATTCGCCCAAACCATACATGGGATATAGATATGGAGACTTTCCGTATCTGGCTAAAGAATCTGAATACAACTTAATACGTTGAATGGTTTTAACAGCTGGTTCATTCAAGTATTCATCATCCCGGAATAATGCCAAAGCATGTCCAGTAAAATCTTGTGTATTCTTGTCCAAGCCAAATTTATCGTACAGTGCTTGCATATTCGATTTGACGGGATCAAAATCCTTCCAAGTCTTTGGATCATCTTCCTTAAAATCTTGGACATAAATTAAGAAGTTACGAAAGCGTCGTTTTTCAAACATTCCTGAAAATAAAAGCAAAAAAGGATTTTTTAATATCTACTTGTTCGGATAATAATCGGTCGACGAATTAAACCCGTTTAGGCAAATGGCGGAAATGCATGCTAAAAGTTAAATACTCTTAAAAATTATCATTCCTCACCCACAACATAGTACTATTTATTAGACATTCTTCTTTAGAAACCCTTAATAAGACTGATAGGCAGAGTCCGAAAATAAACTATATGAAACGAATGCAGTCATTATACCCTACACCACATAGTGGTAAGGATATTATGTCTTTGTGCATTTGTTTGTAAAATGGAGAAGAAAGCGAGATATATCCATAGTTACTTTTGAATCACTTTCTTCATAGCATCACTTTCTGAGTCGATTTATGCATATTAGTCCGTCCATCTGTCCATTTATTCTTGTGAACAATATGCAGGTCGCATTTATTATCCGATTGAGATGAAACTTTCCAAACAATGTGTGTTTGCCTCAAGGACGAACCCCATTGATATCGGTTTAGATTTAGATATAGCTCCCATATAAATCTTCAACCGATCGGTTTAATTGTGCACTAAATGGACAATAACAGTCCAAATGACCTAAATTTTGTCACATCCGACCGACTTTTGACTTTTCCTTACTGGTTTTCTGGTGGTTTACCGGTGTACGAAAAGAAACAAAACCGATAGCGTATATTAGGGCACTCGTATTGTTTGTGTAGTTCTGGCATTGAAATGTTTGTGGTTTTGTTTAGTTCTGAGATCAAAATTGTTGAAAAAAATTAAACGCCCATTAACATCCCAGCAAAAATTATTGGAAGTTGTTCCCCATGATTCAATGATTCCACCAGTTTATTAGCGTGACTTCAATATTTTGTGTGGCTCGTAATTGGATTATAAATACCCACAACCAAGATAAAGGCTATGTGACAATAAGTTACCTTTTTTACTTCTTCCGTAAATCAAAATATCAGAATTATAAAGATCTTCATATACAAATATATATATATATATACCAAAAAGATCGGAGACCGATATATATATATATATATATATATATATATATATATATATATATATATATATATATATATATATATATATATATATATATATATATATATATAAACACTATGTGTTGGGGGTATTAAAAGTTTGAGTAACACCAGGAAATATTGGTTTCCAACATAGGAAAGTATATGTGGATCTTCCTATCTCGCCGAGCTGAGTCGATCTAGCTATGTATGTCCGTCCGTCTGTCCATGCTAATTTGTAATCACCGATCTTCACGAAATTAAGGTCAGAATAGATCCCTATTTCTTTTGGATATTATCGCATAATATTTAGGGGTTGAAATGGACCAAAAACTGAACAATTTCCTGATTTTGCAGTTGCTCTACAGGTCACAATTATAGACCAATCCAAGCGAAATTTAGCATGGGGCTTTGGACTGGGCCTTCCAATTTTAATGGTCATCGGGTAATATTTAGTGGTTTAGTAGACCATAGCATTTGCGATAAAAGTCAATTTTTCCATTAATCCGCGAATATTTTTTCTGCCGGCGAAATCACAAATAGACGAACAGGTCAATTCTGACCGTTACGTAGATGCCGATAGTAAAAATATCGGATATATATAGAGATATATATACAATGTATATATACAAAGGAAGGGGATGTCATCTAGAATGCTTAGATCTTCAGAATGGCTGGAGCGATTTTGACAAATTTTGTCAATTTAGAATGCCCTTGTGGCATTAAAGTATAAATACTAAAAAATCGTATAAAAAGATACCAATAATGATGTTCATATAGATTTTGTAGTATTTTGTGACATTTTTTTATTTTTTCATATTTTTTATCGCATGCGATTTTTTCAAATTGACTTATAATATTGAAGTATTTGTTTTGTAATATTTTTTCACTTTACAACAAAGGTTAGGGTTATTATTTATATACTGATTGCAATTATCGTTTTCACAAAGGTAGGGTTAGGCTCAGAAGGGCTAGGCCTATTTTTTCAAAGATGTCCGCAATATATTTAGGGGTTGAAATGGACCAGCAACACAAAATGTTCCTGATTTTGCAGCCGTTATAAAGGTCCCAAATATAAACCTAAGGAAACGAAATCTCGCATGAATTTAGAGCTTAGGACAGCGGGTACAATGGACCACTACTTTTGTGTAAAAAATACCAACATTACATACAGGCGATACTCAATAGGCGAACTTCTGGCTTTTTTATGCTGGTTTCGTTGACGAATATAGGCAAATATCGTAGACAAGCAAATCATATAGATGAGTCGACACGCCTGAGAAGATAGGTAAGTACAGGGAAGAATTCTGGCATTTTGGATGACCATTGGAATATATTTAGCCGTAAAATGGACCACAAAAACTAACAGCACGACGGAGTGCATAAATATTAGGAAAATGTCCCTGGTCAAAATGCTAAGGGTAATATCTGGGCAGTGCTCCGTGACATAATTTCAAAAGCGAAATCTTCCAAAATGGATTTGGACATGAGGGGGCTTCTAACATATTGTAGTGTTGTAGGGTATCACATGGTCGGCCCCGCACGACTATAGCCTAATGTATTATATATATTATTAAAAAACTTAACAAAAATCTATAAAATAAATAACGATTCATTTCAATAAAAAAAATATAAAATTCAGTAATAAAAAAAATTAAATTACGTAAAAATAAACAATGAAAAATAAATTTGTACCCAATATGGAAAAATCCGCCCAAACCACAAAATTTATATTTTTTCCGCCCAAATTTGGACGGAAACGCCCAAAACGGCGACACTGATAGTAGTTCACTCCTGTGACATTGCGAACACAGAGCTTCGACATAGACAAATGAAAATATTGACAACGAAAAACTCTCACCACTTGTCTTGTAAAAAATCGGACCTCCAGATGTCGTCTTTATCGTTTTAGGGGTATGAGTGAAAATATTGAAGTCACTCAATTCTAAAATGTTAAAAATAACAAAAACTGTAGGATATTTGCAGTTGAAAAATTGTTCCATAATAAAAGAAATGTGAAAAGTACATGATGACACCGGAAAATTCCGAAATAATGAAGTGAAAATCTTTAAAAACATAAAATGTGTTTTCGAAGTCGAGTGGGTTAAACGTGTAAATCAGCATTTTGACTATGCAAAACATGATGAAGGCCAACTGGATAAAAAGACAAAACTGACTTTTTGTTGTCTATACTTTCATTTTTCTATGGCTTCGATCAATTCATGTTTGCTCACAACTTTTTCGTTTCGCTTGAGCAACTCGAATAAACATGCTACATCTGACCGACTGCTTGAGTTTGATTGTATTTCCACTAAGTGCGATCAAAGCTTACTCAATCATACTCATTGCAGCCCTCTGATGCACATTCACGAATGAATAGAACCGAGTGTTTGACAACAAAAATGTAATCCGGTGGTAATCAGTGGAAAATGCTAAGTCACTCTGATTCGGTTATGCATAAAAGATTTTGGAAAAATTCATCAGATGCACTACGGAGTTGTGGTGATTTACATACATACATACACCAAATTAGAAGGAAATAAATCTTATATTACATTCTTGTCGAAATTCATAGCATGAGCTTAAATTTAATCTAATTCGATAATCGTAGCACGGTTGGTGCAATACATGCACATATTTGGGAAATATATAAATGTAAGCCATACTAAATCTGATTCGATTTTCACCATTCTTTACACCTAGGCTAAATTCTATTTGATTTGATATTAGTGAACTATCATTTTGTTGGGTCAAAGAAATACATCGTGCAAAGTTTTCTTAATTTGACAATAAATGCGACCTGCACTTGAGTTACAAACATATAGGACAGACGGACATGTATGAATCGAGAAGTTAAATACTTCTATTTATATGAATATTACAGAAATACGTCGAATAAAATTTCCAATTTGAACAAATGTGTTCAAATAACGATAATAATATAAACGTTCCATAACAAAATACGATCCATTTGGACGAAATCTTTTTGTTTGGTTTCCTTGAAGATATGGACCTTGCGTATTTGGTTAATAAGGACGCTGTTGGAAAATTGCACCACAATTGTTCATTGGGAAACATAAAAATATTTGAATAAAAACAAATTTATGTTACGCATCGAAAGTACATAAATAGAACTCCCGAAAGAATTAAACCCAGAATGGATAAGAAGTGAACGAACTGCAAAAAACGTAACCATCGAATATCTAGGCGATTCTTTTCTTGGTTTTGCAAACACTGGAAGTATAGCAAAGCAAATTTTGGATGCAATATATAAACGGAAGAGTTTGGCATCACAAATGGCGGTGCGAAAAAGACTACTGTCATTAAAGCTTAAAAGGTTTTACTTTTTTAATGAATCATTTCATCATATTCGTTGACTTGTTTACTGAGTTAATGGCTTCCAGAGCTAAAATTGAGGAAATGAATCAGCGTATGATGGCGTCACAACGGAGATAGGAGGATAACTTAACATTGGCATTTGTAAAAACTCGATTACTTGATCATGAGATATAATTGATAAACGATAACCAAGACACCAGTGCAAAATTTCTACAAGGCGTTGATAACAATCAAAGATGCAATAAAAAATATGTTCACATAATTTCAAAAATAAAAGTAGATTCAAATTACACAAAACTTCTAAATCAAGTGTGAAAAAGGACAATATTGTTACGGAAATTAAAAACAGTTAAATGAAAAAAAATCGATAGTGGAAAACAGTTCAAACTGCAACAACCCAAATTGAAAATGGATTTGGATAATAATATTCCAACTGTAGATTTTGAGCTGTTTCAAACATTTACACATCAAAAACATTAAGAAATGAAAACTATCGATTGTGGCATGAAATGTATCAAAAGGGAAATTTTTGGAAATAAAAAGCAAGGGCATGTTAAGTGACACAAATCTTTTTAAAAATACAAAACCTGAATGATTTATGCGAAGATGTATAGATGGTAAGCAATGTAGGTTGTCATTAAG